ATATATAAAACTATCCTGTGTGTACAAATTTTGGGTTAGGTTTGTGTTTATTAACTTTAATAAAAAATATTTCAAATACAAAGAACATAATTCATTCATTGAACGAATATCCATTGAGTGCCTATGTTACACTAGGGACTATTCTTGATACAGTAGCTGCAACAATGAGTTCAAACCTAGCAACAGTTGTGAAGACATTACAGGACTGGGTAGTGTTTAGTTCTGTTGCACATAGACTTGCTCTGAATCAGAACCAACTCAATGGCACCTAACAACAGCAACAACAACAACAACTGTCTTAACATTGGCAATATTACAGTGAAGAAAAAAACCACAAATCCTTTCCCTTATGGTGTTTACATGATAGTGGGGGAGATAGGTAATAAATAAAATAAATAATATACGTAGATGTTAGGTTGTAGTAAGTGGCTGTGGAGAAAAATAAAGCAGGAGAGGAAGATAAGGAGTACCAAATGGTGAAGGCAGTAGTTGCAATTTTATTAAATATGCTTAGGGAAGATGATATTAGAGAAAATAGAGGGAGTGAGCCATGTGGATATGGGGAAAAGGCTTCTGGCAAAGAAAGTTAATGTGCAAAAGCTCTGAAAAGTGCATGTTTGGTTGTTTTCAAGGGACAGCTGGAGGTTCAGGGTTGCTAGACCAGAGTAAACAAGGGAGAGAGAGAATATAGTATGAGAAAATGTTCCGTTGGTCATGGAGAGCCACATCATGTAGAGCTTGGAGGTCTGGGAGGTCTACTCTGAATGCAATGCAAAGCCATTAGAAAATTATGAGCATATATATGTATTTTAAGGATATTCAATCTTCTAGGTTAAGGGTGGAAGCAAGGACCTCAGATGTGACACTACTGAAATGGGGGAGTTAGTGATAGCTTACCAGAAAAAAAACCAAAACTGACTGCCATGGAGTCAGAGCCAATTTATAGCGACCCCTCCTTTGGCTTCCGAGGCAGTATTCACTACAGAAGTAGATTGCCCAATCTTCCTTCCGAGGAGTGTCTAGTGAGTTTGAACTGCCAGCCTTCTGGTTAGCAGTCAAATACCTTAGGCATTATGCCACCAGAGCTCCTAGTGGTACCTTCTACCAGCGTAAAAGCAGTAGAGATGTTGAGACATGCTCAAATTATGGATGTCTTGAAGGTGGAACAACAGGATTTACTAACGGATTGGGATTACAAGGAGCAAAGACTCAAAAAAATAATTCACAAGTTTTTGAGGAATCAAAGATAGAATTTCCATATACTGAGATGGAGAAGGTTGTGGGAGAAGCAGGTTTTATAAGACATGTTTTGGGCATGTTGAATTTGAGATGATCATTTGACATCCAAGTAGATGTTAATAGGCAGTTGGATAAGCAAGTAAGGAGCTTGATATCTTTAATAATTTTTTCTTTGATTTTTCTTCAGTTTCAGATAGAGGTATGATTAAGTCTCATGTTGTGATTATGGATTTGTCAGTTATTCTTTGTAATTTTTTTTTTTGTTTTTGCTTTACGTATTTAATAATTTTGTTGTTAGATGCATAGAACTTCATAAGATCTTCTTGGTGATTTTTTGTTGTTGTTGTTGACTTTGTGTACTTTTCCTTTCTATTCCTATTAATTAACATTAACATTGTCAACCCTGCTCTCTTTTGGTTAGTATTTGCATGGTATGTTATTTTTTTTCATTTCACCTTTCTTTGTGATTTTATTTTACTTTTGTTTTTTTGTAAGCAATACACAACTAGACTTTGCTTTTTTATCTAAATGATTGTCTTCATCTAGTAAATAAGAATATTAACTCATTTTTTACTTTGATTACTGATAATTTTAACTTCATTTCTTAAAATTTATAATTTGTTTTATTATTACCTTTTTTTTTGAAATAATTGTAAATTCACATGAAGTTGCAAATAAATGTATAGGACTGTCCAATTAAATATGTGTAATATTTTCCCTCAGCATCTTCCAGTGTTAACATCTTACATAACTACAGTACAAAAGTAAAACCAAGAAATTCTCATTGGATCAGTTTGTAGACTTACTCTGATTTCTTAAGTTTTACATGTGCTCGTTTGTATGTATATATGTGTATGTATGTGTCTAAATAGTTTTATGTGATTTTATCACATCCCTAGTATTGTATAACCATCACCACACACCATAATACTTATGTTATTTCAGAATTGTCACATAAATGAAATCGTTCAGTATGTATCTTTTTGAGATTGACTTTTTTTCACTCAGCACAATTTGCTTGCATTTCATGCAGCTTGTTGTGTTTATCAACAATTCATTCTTTTTTGTTTTTGAGGAGTAGTCCATGGAATGGATGTACTACAGTTTGCTTAATGATTCATGCTTTGAAGGACATTTAGGTAGTTTCCAGTGAATAAAGTGGCTATCATATTCATATACAAGTTCCTGAATGAAAATAAATTTTCATTTTTCTGGGATAAATGCCTAAGAGTCCAATTGCTAGGTTGTATAGCAAATTCATTTCTAGCTTTGAAAGAAACTGCCGAACTGTTTTCCAGAGTGATTGTACTATTTCACATTTCCTTTAGCAAAGTATTAGTGATCCAGTTTCTCCATATCCTTGCCATTTGTGGTCTTGCCTTATTTCATTTCAGCTGTTCTGGTAGATGTGTAAGCGATATTTCATTGCAATTTTAATTTGCATTTCTCTAATGGCTAATAATGTTGAACATTTTTTCATGTGCTTATTTGCCATCTGTTTATCCTCTTTGGTAAAATGTTTGTGCATTCTTTGCTCATTTTCTAATTGGTTTGTTTGTTGTTTTATTTGTTTAAGTTTTGGTTTGATTTTCTCCTTCATTTACCTCTGCTGTGAGTTGTATATAAAGTATTCTCTAACTCATCATCAGTTTTACACATATTAATAACTCAAGTTTTTGACTAAGATTTAATAATTACACATCTTCAAACTCATGGAAGACCTGACCTCTCACATTTTATTATATATTGTTTCAAGTATAATGGATCATTTTACCCATGATAAGTTTTATAATAATTTTGGTTTGTTTTGCTTTTAAGTGAAGGCTGGTAATCAGTGCTCTCTAGCTATAGGTTATAAAACAAATACCTTGAAAGCAATAACATGAAGGATTTTAGGTCTGTACAAAGAAAACTATCTTTAACCAGAGTTTAATTTAATTTTTGGAAACTGGATCTTCGTCTGTGTGTATGGACATGTTCTGGGTTAAAATTCTAAAGCTAGAAGAGACTGAAATTATTTTTCTGTTGTAATGTAACAAACCTCCCCCACTTTCCAATTTAAGTAATTCCCATGTAACACTGTAAGAATTTCTGGTAGGGAAACAAAAACTGATTGTTACTGGAAGATGAAGTTGTTCTTATATAACCCATACTTCTCTTATTGTAGAAATCTTGTTTTGGGTGGATTATTTCTAAGAAGCTTTAGCAAATTAATTTTACAGCTTCAACATTTTATTTTAAATCTTATATATATATATATATATTTTTGTTGTTGTTGTTGTTGTTGTTATGTGCCATCAAGTCAGACCCAACTCATAGCAACCCCTCCTTGGGTTTCCAAGGAGGTATTTCTATGGAAGTAGATTGCCCAACCTTCCTTCCTAGGAGTGGCTGGTGGGTTTGAACTGCCAGCCTTCTGGTTAGCAGTCACGTGCCTTAGGCACTATGCTACCAGAGCCCTTATATTTTATTTACTGACTATTATCTATTATTCTAACCCAACTCAGGCAGAAGAAGAACTTCTGTATAGATTTAAAATCCTGTGGTAGATGCCTTTTAGAACAAAACCCCCATGTTTTTACCACAGCCTTTTGGCCCTTGCATGGTATAGCTCTAGCTGCCTCCTTGACCTCGCCTCGTTCCACTCTCCCCTCTTTGACTTGTACTCTGGACTTACCTGCCTTTAAATTTCTCTAATGTTCTGGGATTCTGTCCTCTGACTAAAGACCATTGGTTCCCTATCCTGCAACTTCTCATGTACTCACTTTCCTCTGCATCCGACTTAGATTCAGTGATTGATCACTGTTACCACATCCTTGCATATACTTCCAATTCCTTTGATCCTTTCCTTTCACTGAACTTGTCAGGGAAAACCACACCCTAGTTAAATGCAACTCTATGCTTATTCTATGTTTCTAACATGGTGGAGATAATAACCAATTGTGCTGTTTGATCTCATTTTGTTTGTGACCACCTGCTCATGTGGGTTTTTAGTTCTTCCTGTAATTCTGTAATATTCTCCCACTTTCACAGGCAACTCCAGGACCACCTTCCTGGTTCTTAATCTTAGTTTGTAGTCCTTGTTTCTTGTCTCATTGAGAAAATAGATGCTGTCAAAGGAGAGCGTCTTTGCTTTCACCACCTCCCAAATCTTCGTTGTAGCTGCATCTGTTACCAAGTAGTCTGACTTTCCTCAGTAACAGTGAATGAACTATTTGTATGTCTATCTAAAGTCATCTTTCTAATTTGTGCAATAAAAATCCTTCCCACTTGACTGCCTAAGAATATTGCTTCTGTGTTTTGCCTTCTCTCTCCTTCATTCATTTTTCCTCTCTACTGCATCATTATATGCTGCAGTAGCTCCCATCTTAAAAACAAAATCCTCCCTTGATCCCACTTCCCTCTCCATTTAGCTTTCTGTTTCTTTTCCCCCTTACAGTAAAGCAGTATTCAGAGATTTTCACTCTCCATTGAACATGAGCCACTACAGCATTTACCAAGGCTTCGTTACATTATGAGTTTGAAAAAACTGGTTAAATACATTTGGTAAACACAGAATGCTCTTGGAGATGTATGGTCATTATTAGTAAGTTAGGTTTTTTGCAGTTTCTGTAATAAGTAGTCAGTTTATACTTACCCAAATTTATTTAAACACAGAATGTGTTTAATAAAATAACCTATTACTGTTTGGTTCTTATTTATTAATTTTTTTTTTTTACTATAGTTTGAGAAATGCTTAACCATTCAATTGTGATCATGGACAGTTTGCTTAACATACCATGCTTATCAATTGAGTTGAGAGAAGGTAAGGGTCCAGAAGATTCCTCCACCTCCATTTAGAATTGTATCTCATGTACTTTGGTCATGTTGTCAGAGGGGACCATTCCCTAAAGAAGGATGTCAGGCTTGGTAAGGTGGAGGGTCGACGAAAGAGGGGAAGGCCTTTGACGAGATGGATTGACATGGTGGCGGTGACAATGGGCTCAAGTATCGCAAGGATCATGGAGCTGGCGTGGGATCAGGTCGTGTTTCGTTCTGCTGTGCATGGGGTCGCTATGAGTCAGAAACGACTTGACAGCACCTAACAACAACAACAACAACAACAACTGTGTTAGTGGTTACGAGCTCAAAAGCCTCATAAGGTTCTGTTACTGACTGAGTTACCTATGTTGGCTAATTATATTTAATTAGGGCTCTTATGATTGAGCATATTTGTCTCACTGCTCCTGAAGGTGAGACATTATTTTCCTTAAACATGTTCTACCAAAACAGCAAACCTCTTTGTGGGTCCATTTTATTTTTTTTTCTAGTTTTGGTCTAAGTCATTAGACTCTTCTCATACTTGATGATACACATGAACTTTGAGTTAACCTACCTACAATCATCTAGTGCCTTCCTGATTGAAATAAATTACTTCTGTGTTTCAGGTGTCCGGAGTCGATCTGCAGAATGCCTCACACAGCGAAGCAGTGGAGGCCATTAAGAATGCAGGAAACCCTGTTGTGTTTGTTGTGCAGAGCTTGTCACCCACGCCAAGAGTAAGTGTAGTTCATCTTCTCAAAACGTTTTCAAGCATTTTCTCTACCTGTGAACCAAGCTTTTGCCTCTAAGTATTTTTTCATGTATTTTCATCATTACCGAGTTATACTATTACTTAGAAAAATTATTAGTTTCAGGAAAATTTAGGTATTAACTTCAGTTTCCCTTTGTTTCTTCCAGTTTTGATCTTAGTCAAGTTTGAGTCAGAATAGTGTCCATTGGTGTAAGTCAAAGGTTGTGAGGTCAAACAGACCTGTTTTCAAATCCTTTATTCCCTATTTGCCAGCTTTGCTAACTGTAGGCCACATGTAGAAGGTTAGGTGTAAAAGCATCCTAGAGGTACAATCCAGTGTTCTGTATACTTATTAAACCATGCAACATTACAGGAATGCATACTTGTATGCATTTGGAGATTTCAAATGGAAAAATATTAGCATTTAATCATAACAATTCTCTTATATAATTAATTACTCCTTTGGTATGGAATTGGAACTATAATAACAAGATGTGAGTGGCAGAATGTGTATTTTATATTACAATGAATAGCAGAAACTTCACCCTTAAATCCTGTAACTGGAAGCAATATTTATTTTTCTTCATTTTATAATGGAAGACAGCTGTTTAAAACAGGTACATCTGAAAAACTGCACATTTAAAAAACATTTGCTTTTCAGTGCAGTCTTGCACTGGTTTCCAATCTTTTGTATGTAATGGCAAACAGAAAATAATACATGTGTGTCAAACTGGGCAAACAGATGATTGGCAGCCCCAATAGCAGGCCATGGGTGTGATGCTCCTGTTCTTGTAACCTGTTGCAGCTGTACTACTTGGGAAGTTTTGCTAGATTGAATGCATTGCTGTTCAGTATCTTCCAGTTTTAGCATTATATTTACACCATCAAGACAAATTGAGAGAAGTGAACAAAATAAAGTTCTTTCATTTTCACACAATTTGAAATTCAAGAACATTTTTGGAACCTAGTCTTTAACTCTTATAATATTGAGAATGTAGTTCAGGCCATCATAGATATTTCTAGAAACTGAATTCAGAAGTAAAATTGGCCAGATTATTCCTTGCCACATAATACTTTAAAGAAATAATTTTGAGTTTCAATGAGCCAATTAAATTACACATTTATGTGGCCACCTGTGAATGCTCTTACTGAGAAATATTCAAAGCATTTAAATAGGTTATAAAGTCAACCAAAAAGGGCAAGCTTTTAATCTAGTCTTGGCAGGTGAACTGAAGTGGAAATTTTCACTTGAATGACAAACAGTTCAATTTCTTTTAACTATTAAAATAATCTCTTCAGCATCATGCCATGCTCAGGGCACTCCCTTCCTCCCCGTATAGTAGAAGAGATTCCACCTTGTGCATTGGATTCACTAAGCACTGGGCTATCTGTGATTCTAGCCAAGTGAGCATGTTCAGTTCATTACTATGTGTGTGACTTGTTCCATTTTTAATCTTTGTTTTTTGCGTAAAGTGATTCCTGTTGAATGAAACAATGAAAGGAATTAAGTTCATGTCTTTGCTAAATATTACTCTCTTCAGGTGATTTATTGTTGCAAGTAATATTGTTATTGCAGGAACAATAAATGTAGGCAATGCTTAATCAATTCTTAACCAATTGAGGTAGATTTTGAGATTTTCTTTAAATCCTGAAAAGTCATTTCTTAGTACAGTGCCCATCAGAGATCCCATGCCTAAAAGTGTCTTCATCACATAATAATTTTCACCAACACCATGAATTGGGTGGTGATGTGGTTTTACAATGACACATGGAAACAATTAGTCAAAGGGACTGGTACACCATGTGATCCTCAGCCTATATGACCATGAGACCAGAAGAACTAGATGATGTCTGGCTACCACTGTCAACCACTCGGAGAGGGAGATCTGTATAGGAGATCCTGGGTAGAGTGGGAGAACAATGTGGAACAAAATCCAAAATTATTTAAAAAAAAGACCAGCCTTGCTGGTCTGATAGAGCCTGGTGAAACCCCTGAGACTATGGCCCCTAACTGTCCTTCAGGTCTGGAATTGAACTCACTCCTGTGGCTTCTGGCCAAATAAAAGACTGGCATATAGGCTGAACATTTATATCAGGTAGATGCACTCCTTGGAGAGATCGATCATGGGAGAATAGAAGGGCAGTGTATGCATAGGGAGACCGCTCAGGTGAGCAGGAGTGCATGGAAGGGAAGGACACAGGGAAGAGGTAACTATGGCGAGGAAGTGGGAAAAGAGCTTTTATATTGTGGGAATTGCAGTCAATATTGTGAGACAAAATGTATATGAACTGCTGTGTGGAAAATGAAATTGCTCTGTAAACTTTTCACCTAAATCACAATAAAAATTTTAAAAAAAGAGAGTGATGTGGTTTTATCAACTGCTTTAAGAGCATTATAAGTATATTCACTTTTTAAGGTTTTTCTGAATTTATCAACTGTTTATCATGCTGGAGAAATGTATCAATCCACTTAGATTTACTTGGCAAGTGCTCATTACAGTGCAGGACCCATGATTGATACTGCACTCCTCTGGAAAGTTTGTATGCTAAGGTAATTTTTTCCACTTAATAACATAAATGCATTTCACAGTAATATCATGTAGGTTTTCATATTCAAAAATAAACTCTTTTGAAATTGGGGTCATTTCTTCAGTTCATTAAGTTTTTCACACGTTGTTTTCTGTTTTTCTGTATTCCAGTTGTACTTCCTTAATACTGTTGCTTCATAGTGACATCTAAGTTTTTTAACACAGACATGTTTTTCATATTAATCATATAAATATCTACAACAAATTTGTTTTTTCTGGTTTTCTTAAAGTAGTCTTCTTGGTGAGCCTTTTGTCCTCCAGCATTTGCTAACAGTATGTGTGCAGAAATATAATTCTAAGTTATTTGAAAAATGATAGTGCGTACAGTATGAATGACAACTGACAGTCTGTTCCTTCCCAAAGCTATTCAGCTACTCGGTTGTTCCATGGGAAAAAAGAAATAGGCCCCATGTGGGCAGATAACCCTGATTTATCAGGGAGGCAAATGTTTTGTTTTCAGATTCTTCAGGACAAAAACACATGCCTGTGGACCCACTAGTCTTTGACCTCTGACTTAGGTTATTGTGTGTCTTAACTAACATATATTTAGCACAAGCAGACTGTCTGTTTATGTAGGTTATATGTTATTTTTGCCTAAAATGAAATATTTCTGTGCTTGCTTCGGCAGTACGTATACTAAAATTGGAATGATACAGAGAAGATTAACATGCCCCCTGTGCAAGGATGACACACAAATTCATGAAGCATTCCATATTTTTACAGGAGTGCATAGTTAAGAAAGACACAGGGAGGAGGGAGTCACGCGGATCGGAGGGGAGGAGAGTTTGTTATGGTTGGGAATGGTAATCGGCATGAAATGCACACAAACTATTGCATGTAAAAGAAATTTTGCTCTGTAAATTTGTACCCAAAGCACAATAAAAAAATAAATATTTCTGAGGTGTTCTTATCTATTCCAAAATTAATTTATTTAGACTCTATATTGCAAGTAAAGAAAATGTCATCTTAAAGTCCATTTAGAGGGAAGTGTTTTGTTTTGATTTGTTTTTTTAATTATCCTTAGGCAGGTCCTTCAGTTTTCTGAGAAAGGTGATTTAATTTTTTAAAGAAATATTCAGGTCTGTCATCAGATTTTATACCAAGATTATTTGTGTTAGGCATTTGAGGAACCTATAAAATCTCTAAAAATTTTGTATTTTACTAAACTGTTTCATAGGTAGTTTCACAAAAAGAAATGAGTCAAAATGTGATGCCATGCTAGAGACCACAGTTTATTAGTGGCTACCAGGGGTGGGAGAGAAAGAAGAAAAGGGGCAGTTATTGTTTAGGAAGCATTGAGTTTCCATTTCTGTGATGGAAATTTGGCAACAGAGATTAGTAATGACATGATTAGTACAATGATGTCACTATATTGTATAAATGAAAAACATTTAAGTTGGCACATGTTGTGTTATATGTAGTTTTACAAAAATAAAAAAATGTAATCTATGTTGCTAATACCATTAGAATTAAAATTATTTTATGAAATTGAACTGTTTCTTTTTTTTAATAAACATCCTCTGAATACAACTATATATTGAGCCCTTTTTAGACATTAAGGAGAAATTATAAACAACAGTAAGCTCTGTTCTTATTAAGTTTATATTTCTGGGGTGGAAATAGGTTAGAAATTCATCTTTATTCTAAAAGTAATGTTGTTGTTGTTGTTGTATGCAGTCAAGTCAACTCATAGAGACCCCTCCTTGAGTTTCCGAGGTGGTATCATTATGGAAGTAGATTGCCCAACCTTTCTTCTGAGGAGTGGCTGGTAGGTTTGAACCGCCAGCGTTCTAGTTAGCAGGCAGGTGCCTTAGGCACTTTGCTACCAGAGCTCCTTCTAAAAGTAATAGTGAACTATTTATCGAGTGCCCATAATGTCCTAGATAACATGCTTGAACAATGGTAAATAAGATAAATTGATCAAATTAGTAGGTATATTCTATGTTGAGGAATTAGTGTAGGTCACTCCTAAAACTTTATTTTGCACAAAATGAGATGTTTCTTTTGGTCTTCTTCATCTTCACCTCCTGGGTCTATACACATGCTTATGAATTTATTGCCACTTGATGCCATATGTAAGTTTTCAATATTTTAGGGTTTTATAGCTTATCAGATTTCCTAAGTTGTATTGTTTGTCTTCAGTGCACTCATATATATATACCAACAAGTGTGAAGATGGCACAGCACTGTGCAACCTTTCATTCTGTGAGACCTAAGGTAACTCAGATCCAACTTAACAGCAATTAACAGCAACAATTATACTTCTATTATCTTTACTTTTTTAGATGAATCACAAAATTAATTAAGATTTTTATTTAAAAAATTTATGAAAAGTCATGATTGTAGCTTTGAAATGTTTTCCTTTCTTATTCCCCCATCCCTTCTTTTTTTGTGATGATAGGTCATTCCTGGTGTGTATAATAAGATCAGCAAAATCGGCGTTAACCAGAACCGAGACAATCAAGAAAAAAAAGAAAAGGTAACGTAAACCTATCAAACCTTTTCAAACTGCTTTTGGTTCCCTTCTTTATATCTGAACTGTAATTAAGGGTAGTTTTTTTTGATGAGTGTCAGGTAGAACTACTGTATTTTGCAATTTTTCCTTTCCTGAATATGATGGGTTCTGGCCAGAATGAAGGCCAACAGCTTACTAAAGCGTGGGTACAAAAATAGTATAAAGAGCCCGTCAGGTACCATTGTCTTTGTCTCCTTCCTGTTCAGTGGAGCAGCTCGCCTGTTCATGCCCAGAACGTGCCTCTCACACTTGGGGAGTTTCTGAGAATTTCATCCTGCTGCTTTCTCAGCCTAGAAGTCCATGTTCCATATTGCTCTTCAGTAAGAATCTTTCTCTTTCAGGGACAGGTCAAAGATCATCTCTACTGAGAAAACTTTCCTTACTGTCGGTCACAATTAATCATCCATTCCTGTTTTTCCACCTCTATTTTGGTAGAATTAATTGATCTAAAATTTGTTTTAGGATATGATGTCAGCTAGGGAATATTTTTCATTTTTCATCCATGTTGTTGTTATGTGCCGTCGAGTTGGACCTCACTCATAGCGACCCCTCCTTGGATTTCTAAGGCAGTATCACTACAGAAGTAGATTGCCCAACCTTCCTTCTGAGGAGTGGCTGGTGGGTTTGAACCGCCAGCCTTCTGGTTAGCAGTCAAGTGCCTTAGGCACTACGCTACCAGAGCTCCTTTTTTACCCATAAGGGTAAATAATTGTCCTACTATTTTAAAATAGACTCTTCTTTACCCACTATTTATAATGTGCCTTCTGTCCTACCTTTGGTTGTCAGGCAGAGTCTGTTTCTTGCTCTCTTTTTGTTCAATGTTAGTTTGACTATCCTAGACTATCCTAGCACAAATGCTGGGAGCTCTGGTAGCATAGTTGCTAAGGCACTTGACTGCTAACCAGAAGGCTGACGGTTCTTCAAATCCACGAGCCACTCCTCAGAAGAAAGATGGGGCAATCTACTTCCGTAGTGATACTGTCTCGGAAACCCAAGGAAGGGTCGCTATGAGTTGGGTACGACTCAATGGCACATAACAACAACAGCACAAATGCTGCACTACCACAATTATTATAGCTTTATAATAAGCCTTGTTTTCTGTAGTGTAAGTCTTGCCTATTTGCATCTTTTTTCTTTGCTATGTAAAATTTAAAATTTGTTTGCCAAAATCTGTTAAGAAAAAAAATTCTTTGGAGATTTTGCTTGGAATTGTGTCAAATCTATAGAATAATTGGGAAAAAAAAAATGACAAATTTATGATATCAAGCCTTCCTAAACACTAACATAGCATATCTTCCCATATATTGAATTCTTCTTTTACTTCTTACATTAAATTTTTATAGTTTTCTTCAGAAATATATTTTTAATCTTTTGTTTGATATATTTCTAGGTATATGTTTGTCATATATTTTACATTGCATTTTCTGTTTATTGCTGATATGTAGAAATAAAATGGACTTTTACATATTGATTCGACATCTTGCAACTTCAATTTCTTATTTTTTTATAAAGTTAAATGATCTCAGTATAGAATATTGGGAAAATAAAAATGCTGGAATTAAAAAATAATAATAATAAACAGTCTTACAGAAGCACCAACCAAAGATAACCGTGTTATATTTTTCACATAATGAGTGCCTTCTAGTGTTTTTGCGCATATAAGAATGTGAATCTCAAATTCTAATATTATGTCAATACATGTTAATTTTTGGATTTTCTGTATAGATAACCATTTTGAATAAAAATAGGGTTTTTTCTCCTTCTAATATTTATTTTTCTTATTTTATTATATCTGCTAAGACTTTCTATAGTATGTTAATAAAATAATAATTATACCTAACATTCTGGTCTTTTTCCTGATATTTAGGGAAATGGTTTTAATATTTTACTATTGAATATTTTAGGAGCTGGTGGTGTAGTGCCTAAGGCATTTGACTGCTAACTAGAAGGCTGGTGGTTCAAACCCACCAGCCACTCCTCGGAAGGAAGGTTGGGCAATCTACTTAAGTAGGGATAACGAGAAACCAAACCAAACTGCCATGGAGTTGGATCTGACTCATAGCAACCCCTCCTTGGGTTTCTGAGGTGTTATCACTAAGGAAGTAGATTGCCCAACCTTCCTTCCTCAGAAACCCAAGGAGGGGTTGCTATGAGTCGGGTCTGACTCCATGGCAGTGAGGTTTTTTTTTTTTTTTTTTAATTATTGAATATTATATATGGTATGGAATTTTTTTAATAGCTAATCCTATAGGTTAAAGAAATGCTCCCTTCTAGTCCTATTTTGCTAAGAATTTTTACCGTGAATGGTATTAAATTTTACCAAATGTATTATTTGAATTTACCAAAACAATTACGTATATATGTGTATGTGTCTATGTTTTTTTTTCTTCTTGACATCCTTAATGTGGTGAATTACATTAGTAGCTTTCCTAATGTGGAACCTATTTTAACTACTTGGTTTAAATTTAATTTGCTTATGATATATTATCTTGTTTTGCCCATTGCTGGTATTATTTCTTTTTTGGACATTTTACTTCTGTGATCATGAGTCAGATTGGCCTGAAATTTTCCATTACTCTACTGTTCTTATCTGGCTTTGTTTATACTATATGACCACCAAAATAAATAGGTGTATTTCTTCTCTTCAGTTCTTTGAAAGAATTTGTGGAAAATGGTTAATTATTGGATTCTTTAAATTAATTCTTTAACTAAATTCTCTAAATTTAGTTAAACTAGCCTAAAAAAGCCATACTGGGCCTTATCCTTCCTATGTGGGAAAACTTTTAAAGATTGACTCAGTTCTTTAACAGTTAATGAACCAGTCAGATTTTCTGGAGTCTGTTTTAGACATTAACTGTTTTCTAGTATTGGTAGTTAATGAAGAAATAGATTGCACAAAAAGCTTCCTCTTATATATAAAAACAAAAGCAAAAGCAAAATCAATGCTATTAAAGACAAGTCACATCTCAATATTATTTTAAAAGTTGTCTGTCCTTGTTCTGAGTATTGTCAAATACATAATGTTTATTAAAAAGAATTCATTTGCCATTTAACCCTTCACTTCTTTCATTTTTAAGTATTTTCAAGCAAGAATTAAAGAGATACAGTGATCACATTTCAGTATTCTTCTGTTGTTTAATAAACATTTCATATTTAGCATCTTCTTCCATCCTTCTTGCATTTATCTCCTTTTGGATTTTCTACAGATATATAAAGTACTACTTTGGCTAGACATTAAGTAAATTTGTGTGCTTGTTTTCTGTTATGAATCTCAAATAGAGTTTTCTACTTTGGAGAATTTATTACATATCAGTTTTCTCTAATGGACCAGTTATTGTCCCCTTATTGAAATGTATCCTGCCATTAGTGGTTTTGTTCTATAAAGCATATTTGAATGTATTTTATTGAAACAGTTAGCAAAACAAATTTTAATATAGTTATTCTAATAATTGGGGAGTGCTTGGATCTATCAGCTTCTATTCTGTTTAGCAGCTTGGATCTCTCTGTAACGTTTGGCATGTTTTATTTTTCTCGTTCAAGAAAATGTCTCCATTCTGTGAAGGTAATTCATTGATAGGGTTTTATTATACTTTAACTAAGTCTTTATGAACCAAATATTGATGTGTTGTATCATTTAGTGTGTAAATTTAAGTAATACTAATGCAGAAATGGAAAAAAAAATTGTAAAGATTTTCTTTTTATAAACATTTGAAATGTATGTTGACCAATGACTAATTATAGAAAAATACCTTTTCATTTTAAGTACCTTTTTAAAAAAACATCCATAACTTCTACAATTGAAGAAAAAGTTTAATTATAGAATTACTATATCAGCTAGTTTTTCCTCTTGGTTTATTTTTGAAATATCTTTTCTTTAAATTATTTTGTTAATAATAAAGAAAATTAAGTTTCAACAGTGAAGGAATCATACCTAGTAGGCTTTCTCTCTGTGGATAGGAGTGTATTCTTCTTAGTAAGTTAACAGTTCTGAAAGGTGGGCTTTTGAATTCCTGTTTTCTACATTAGTGTGTTTATATCACAGAATCACTTTTACAAAACATAAGTGTAAGAGGATAATTGTATTTGTATTAAAGTTTTGATATAACGGAGGTTAGATGAAGCCAGAATATTTGTTGATTATCTTTTTATCCTGCTTGTAATTGAAGAGGAGGATTGTGCAAAGGCGGTTATCCCTTCTCTTAAATTTTGCACTTTCAGAGGCGAGGAACTGCACCACCTCCGATGAAACTGCCCCCTCCTTACAAAGCTCCATCTGGTAACAGTGACGAAGATGAGGAAGAATGTGCATTTACTGACAGTAAGTTGCTTTTCATTATTTAGGGTAGAATGCAGACTTGATTAAATCATGCTTTAATGATTGTTGTAAATGATCAGTTATAGGACTGTGGGTTCTTCTTCATGAACATATCGTGCTAAAAAAGAAAATTTACATCTTCTAAACTTTTGTGGCTTTATTTTCCTAAGCTTTCTCTTTGACATTGATGGGAAATGCTTCTTAGAAGCAAGATTGGTGGGACTTTGTCTCACATACTTTGGTCCTAATATCAGAAGAAATCAGACCCTGGAGAAAGACATCATGTGTTAAATGGTTGAATTCATGGTATGTGAATTATATCTCAATAAAGTTCTTTTTTTTCTTTTTTAATGTTTTCCCTTCTACAATAGAGAATAGGAGTTTGATATAGAAATTGAAAGGTTTAAAATCCTGACTTCAGGATTTTACACTTACTTACTATGTATATGACCTGAAGCATGACCGCTTTATAAAAAGGTATAATAACAGTACCCACTTTGTAGGGTTGTGGTGAGAATTGAAACAAACAAACAAACAAACCAAGCTCACTGCCATTGAGTCGATTCTGACTCATAAAACCCCCTTTTGGGTTTCTGAGGTGGTAAATCTTTATGGAAGTAGATTGCCCAGTCTTCCTTCTGCAGAGTGGCTGATGGGTTTGAATCGCCAGCCTTTTGGTTAGCAGTCAAATAAATACCTTAGGCCCTATGCCACCAGAGCTCCTTGAGGATTGAAATAGAATAAGGCAGTTAGCCTGTCACATAACTCTTATGTTGTTAAAAATAGGCTGATTTTTTAAAAAACTTGATTGTACTCTGCAGTTTTACAGAACCCTTTCTCATGCTTTTTTTTTTTTCATTCATTCACCAAATGTTTGTTGAATGCCAACTGCTTTTTAGTATCCACAGTAAGTGAGTCTGCTATAAAGTGAATGAAACATATTTTTGTTGGCAAAGTCATCCAGCCTGGCAGGGAAGATACAAGGCATGGGAACAAAAATTGGTAAGTGTATTGTAATGTCTTCATTCTCAATCGGAGCTCTGGTAGCGTAGTGCCTAAGGCACTTGACTGCTAACCAGAAGGTTGGCGGTTCAAACCCACCAGCCACTCCTTGGAAGGAAGGTTGGGCAATCTACTTCTGTAGTGATACTGCCTCAGAAACCCAAGGAGAAATGCTATGAGTGGGGTCCAACTCGACGGCACATAACAACAACACAACAACATTCTCAATCAGGTTTTGGAGAGCTACTCAGATGGATATGATTGATATGTGTGTGCACAAGTATAATATATTTCCTTGGTCTCATATGGATATTAGGGGAGCTACAGCAGGGTGGAGATAGGTTGTTGATGATTCATCATTTCTTGGATACTAAAAGGCCATAATTTGCATAGTTGTTAGGAAACCTCGTTTAAGTATGTGACTTAGACTACATTCTAATCCCAGTTCCACTACCTGCTTGTTGTGAGTTCTTGGACAAGTTACTTAACCCTTTCATGTTTCATACTCGCTTCTTTGTAAAGGTGACGGGGGAGGGTCTTATAATACACTGCCTGATAGGATTGTTTTGAGAATTAGAGGAGAAAAGCGTTTAAATATCTGAGTCCAAGGAGTATTATACATAGTGAGCACTCTGGTTTAACATGTAGCAGGCACAGTTCTAAGGTTTTTACCTTTATTATTAACTCAGTTAACATAATAATTTTGTGAGGGCCCCTTTTATAAACTCAACCTCAGAGAAATTAAAGAATGGGTCAAAGTTACACAGCTAGTAGTGGAAATGAGGCTTAAACTTGCTACTCTGAGTCCAGAGCCTATTTTCAGTAAATATGTATAAATCCCATTGCTCAAAAAAAAACTCAAACCAAACTCATTGCCCTGGAGATGAATCCAACTCATAGCGACCCCTCCTTGGGTTTCCAAGGCAGTATCTCTATGGAAGTAGATTGCCCAGTCTTCCTTCCGGGGAGCGGCTGGTGGGTTTGAACTACCAGCCTTCTGGTTAGCAGTCAAATAAATGCCTTACGCACTATACCACCAGATCTTCCACATCCCATTGCTAGAAACCTGTTATTAGAGCAGAAATAGGTACAAAAAATGTGGGCTTATTTTGGCAATATCACCTTTAATGCCTTAAGATAAGCAGAAAAACAGCACAAAATTACTGTCTTATGTGCACATGTTTTCCTTTCCAGTGTACATTCCCCCTCTCACTTAACTTCCCATTGAATTTACTGTTAACCTTTTTCTGGAGACTTTGAACTGTGTGGAGTTTTTTAAAGATGGTTTATGTTTAAAAGGTAAGAGATCTAAAACCTCTGTCCTTTTGAAATTGATTGCTTGGGTTTTTCTTTGTCCTTTTTGTTGTTGTTGTTGTTATTTGCCATCGAGTCGGCCCGACTCATAGTGACCCCTCCTTCTTTGTCCTTAACTCCTGTTAAATGAATAGTCTGCTTTTCCATTTATAACTAAAAGTACATTAGTTCACCATTTTATCAGATTTGTATTGTCCTAATATTAGCATTTCTCTTTATAGTGATTACAATATGATTATGGAACCTTCCCAATGTTGGGAGGGTTGCATAACTATGCAATGAATGACAGGAATCCCACATGGCAGTGGTGCTTGTATTAGAGTGATCATAGATGTGATATTCACATATTTCAAAACTTAGTTAAAATCTAACTCAGGTGAGCTTAGCAAGATTGGATAAGTTATTTATTTATGAAGGTGATCCAGTCAAGAAATGTTTATGGATTGGGTACTATGGGTGGACAGGCACTGTTTTAGGTGTTTGGAACCCAGCAGGAACAAGGTCATTCTGATAATTAGCTTATATTCTAGTGGGAGTAAAAGATTATAGACAAGTAAAACAGTGTTTACCTGTGTTTTATTGACTATACAAAGGCATTCGACTGGATAGATCATAACAAATTATGGGTAACATTAAGAAGAATGGGAATTCAAAACCAACTGTGCTCATGAGAAACCTGGACATAGAACAAGAGGCATCATTCAAACAGAACAAGGGTATACTGCATGGTTTAAAATCAGGAAAGATGTGTGTCAAGATTGAATCCTTTCACCATACTTATTCAATCTGTATGCTGAGCAAATAATCTGAGAAGCTGCAGTATATGAAAAAGGATATGGCATTAAGATTGGAGGAAGACTCATCAACAACCTACGATACTCAGGTGGCACACACACCCTTGCTTGCAGACAGCAGGAAAGCCTTGAAACATTTACCAATGAAGATTAAAGCCTTCAGTATGGCTTACACCTCAACATAAAGAAAACAAAAATCCTCATAACTGGACCAGTAAGCAATGCTATGATAAATGGAGAAAAGATTGAAGTTGTCAAGCACTTCATTTTCCTTTCATCCACGGACAACTATGGAAGTAGCAGTCAAGGAATCAAAGTGTTGCATTGGGCAAATATGCTGCAAAAGACCTTTTTGAAGTGTTAAAGAGCAAAGGTGTCACTTTGAAGACTAAAGTGTGCCTGGCCCAAACCATGGTATTTTCAATAGCCTTATACCCATGTGAGAGCTGGACAACGAATAAGAAAGACCTCAGAAGAATTGATGCATTTGAATTGTGGTGTTGGTGCAGAATACGGAATATACAGTGGACTGCCAGGAAAATGAACAAATTACTCTTTGAGGAACTATAGCCAGAATGGTCCTTAGAAGTGAGAATGGCTAGACATGTTATCAGAAGAGAGCAGTCCCTGCAGTAGGGTATTCATGCTTGGGAAAGCAGAAGGTCAGGGAAAAAGGGGAAGACCCTTAATGAGATGGATTGACACAGTGGCTGCAACAATAGGCACAAACATGACAATGATTATGTGGATGGTGCAGGACCAAGCAATGTTTCGTTCTGTTGTACACAGGACTAGTATGAGGTGAAACCTACTCCACCGCAACTAACAACAACATTTGCCATCTCCTTGTTTTATTCTCCTTTCTACAAAAGTTTTTTTTAGTTTCATTTCTAACACCTCTGTTTAGTTTTTTAAATATTAGCTATTTATTTCTAAGCTCTCTTGTTTTTCTTTTTATAGTTTTCAGTTCATTCTTCATGGATGCAATTCTCTTTATTTTTTGAGGATAGTCTACTCTTTATTTTTTTTCTCATATGGACTTAGTTTGTTGAGTGATGGGTTTCCTTAAGGTTGTGAATTGGTTTTTCCACCGGGGGACTCCATATATCAGATCGCTCCCTCTTTCCTCAGAGAAGAGTCCTCCAACCTCCATTCTGGCTGCCAGTGATCTGAGAACCAAGTGTTGGCTTATAGTGGGAATCCATCATCCACTATTTTTCCCCTTCTCGTTTCAGTGTAGCATAGTGCCCCTATCTCTTTGGAAAGTAAAATTTTCATCCTCTGCCTGAATAAGGAAATAGTTCTGCAGTTTACTACTGCCTTATATACTTATAACTAGTTCTCCTCTGTTCAGCCACATGTTCATGTTCCCTAACATATCTGCACTGAACACCTTCCCTTGTTACCCTCCCAAGAGGGACCGGGTCTCCGGGAGCAAGGTAAGCACGGGCGGGCTTGTGCTTACTCACTGATCTGCACGGAACACTTTCCCTTGTTACCCTCCCGAGAGGGACCAGGTCTCCAGGAACAAGGTAAGCACGGGTGTAGCACAGAGTAGCAGGCTGGAAGAGCAGGAGAAAGGGGTAAAACCCAGGAAGCCAAAGAGAAGAGCAATCAGCCAAAGGGATTAGGTGAGGAGGGGAACTCAGGCCCGCCCA